GTGTGTGTGTGTCTCAGTGTGGAGAGCATGTCTCTGCGTTCTGTAGGTAATCCAGGAGATTTGAGCTCCAGGCTGACGGACAACGATAAGGCCAGAGACTGCTTCATCCCGATGGGGTGAGACGGCACGATTCCCAACAAAAAGTTCTTTAACATCACAAAAATGTTTAGTTGCTCCCCGAAAATCTGACCTATTGTTCCAAAGGTGAACTTTCTTATGGCAGAATTAGTTACAGCAACCTCAGAATTTGTTTTAATCCCGATTTATAAGGGATATAACCCCAGAATACAGATATTTCCTCATTGTTTTGTCCATAAATATTCTCAAATTTAGTTTCAGGGACATTTGTTTTAATCTCTAAATGATTTTGTTACAAACCTAAATTTTATTCTACATCCTTCAGATGTATTTATATAAAACATATATACGTGTTGTGGTTGGGAAAGACAGTGTATAATCCCAACCACACGTTATAATCCCTGAAATAGTTAAAGTTCTCCCGATATGAACGTTTTATAATCCACTGGTTAGAATCTAAAATCTTTTCTGTCAATGTGACACAGAATCTCTCCAAAAAAAAATCAGCTGTAATTTGTCAGAATCCAGAATTTTGTTACAACCATAAAATGTGTTTATATAATCCCCAAATCTGCAATAGAAATGTATCATCCTGTTATTGTGTTATTGTGTTGTAATCCCAAAAATGTTGTTGTTGAAAATAAAAATTCTTCTAAAATATCACAAATATCACCAAAATGTTTCAAAGAAACCTCGAACATTTATTAAATCGATAAACAAAGTTTTGTTACGATCCCCAATCTGTTTTAATCCCCAAATTAACAACAAATAATTCATAGATTGACGTCTGTTAGAACTGAAGCGTTATAGATCAGATGATCAGAATAGATCGATCAGTTAATGGAGGACGACGTCTGAACTGCGTTTATTTCTGCAGCATCACGTCGGAGAACGTCGCTGAGAGATTCGGAGTCTCCAGAGAAAAACAGGACGCCTTCGCTCTCAGCTCCCAACTCAAGTGAGTGTTTGTCTGCCGTGGCGGAGGTCAGGTGCTTTATTTAAACACACAATACTGAGCCCTTCGTATGAACCACATAAAACAGGACCATCAGAGAGACACACTACTGCGTCTGTCCACAGGGGGCGCCAGAACCAACACAGATATGACTGAATGTGATTTATTGATTAAATATTTTAGTGCTCAGAGTCTAAAATTATGTGAAAATTGACAGTTTTTAGTCAAATAACATCGACATTTCTTTGGGGATCAGAGTTTGGATCTTGTTGTATAATTAATCTCTAACGAGCTAACCGAGCTGGTACCTCGTCCCCGCAGAGCAGCGCGGGCGCAGAGCTTGGGTCTGTTCGACCAGGAGATCGTTCCCGTCACCACCAAGGTTATAGACGACAGCGGGAAAGAGCGCGAAGTGACGGTCGCTAAGGACGAGGGGATCAGAGCGGGAACGACCATGGAGGGACTCAGTAAGCTCCGGCCGGCCTTCAAACCCGACGGCAGCACCACGGCAGGTGAGTCTTCCTCAGCCGGGAGCCGACAGGTGAACTGACCCATCTCAGCCGGTTTTAACCACACACACACGTTCTGTCTCAGGTAACTCCAGCCAGGTGAGTGACGGAGCGGCGGCCGTGCTGGTCGGTCGCAGGTCGGCGGTCGAGGCTCTGGGTCTGCCGGTCCTGGGGGTCCTGAGGGCCAGTGCAGTGGTGGGGGTCCCTCCTGACGTTATGGGTATTGGACCAGCGTTCGCCATCCCTGCGGCTCTGGAGCAGGCCGGTAAGACTAACTGGGGACGGCTCGTCCAAATGCGGACCTAAGCCACGCCCCTTTTTGCAATGTGCTCCAATGACAGTTACCAAACCGACTTTCTCCTTTCCTGTACGCAATATTTTGTATCCCAGGATGAAGTCATGACCCGCCCTCCTGAAACAGAGCCAGAGTAAGGCGGGTCACGACTTCGCCATCCTGGGAAATAAATTTGGCTTTCTGTACTTAGATATGCTACATGCTAAGCTAATCTATGCTTGCTCAACTGTCATTGGAGCACAAAGTCAAGAGGGGCGGGGCTTAGGAAGAGTCAGTGGAGTCAGTAAATAAATGTTTGTGTGTATGAGAAGTTAAATTCTTGCTGTACTTACTACAACTCTTTAGTATTAATATAATGTAATAATATTATAATATTATATATAATGTAATATTAATATTCTTTGTTTCCCGTTCAGGTCTGTCTGTGTCCGATATCGACGTGTTTGAAATCAACGAGGCCTTTGCCAGTCAGGTGAGTTCAGACGTCCAAGTGTGGATCTGACCTCCTGAGACCGTTATCGACACCATGTTGTCGTGTCCCCCCCCCCAGGCGGTGTACTGCGTGGAGAAGCTGGGAATCCCTCCGGAGAAGGTGAATCCCAACGGAGGAGCCATCGCTCTGGGTCACCCTCTGGGCTGCACCGGAGCTCGACAGGTGGTGACGCTGCTCAACGAGCTCCGACGCCGAGGACGCAGGTTCGTCTCAGCTGCCGCGCCGACGACACTCTGCCGTGTGTTACCGAGCTTTCTCACAGTTCCCCCTCTCGTGTTTCCCTCCCTGCAGGGCGTACGGCGTCGTGTCCATGTGCATCGGCACCGGGATGGGAGCTGCTGCCGTGTTCGAATACCCCGGACCGTAGAAGCAGACCAGGACCAGGACCCGGACCCTGTTACTGTGATTAAAGCCCCTTTCAGACCTGATGGGTAATCTTTACACTTTCTACACGGTCAGTTGGGTTTGTATGACCTGTAGTCGCTCTCACATGAACCAGTAACGTTGCTTTAAATGCTTTCTCAGGTGGTTGGAGCTGAAAGGGTCACAGTGTTTCTCCATCTTAAAACAACATTTTTGTTGCTTCCTCTTGTTCTTAAGCAGGAATTAAACTTTCTGATATAAAAGTCCATTATGAACGATTACAGCCAGAAAAACCTGTTTCAGTGTTTGTTCGAACACCCGGCTGTTGTTTTAAGATCGGTCCTTTAACAGCAGTGAGATCTAACTGCTCTGAAGCTAAATGTTGTTAGGACATTAATAACACTACATAATGAGCCATGTAACAGATAATAACCTTCCAGGTCTGAAAGGGGCTGCAGAGAGATCTGAATCAAGCGTTACATTAATCTCCCACTGAACTAATGCTGCTGTACTTTAGCTGGTAATGATGATAATAATGATAATAATGATAATAATACTTGTATTTGTATAATTGTATAGAAGTGCCTTTGACTTCCTCATTCATCCTGCTTCAGTCGCAGTCTGTGATAAACAAGCTGGTGTAGTTTCAGGCTTTTATTGTGAAGCAGCTGTAGGACTTCCTTTTGTTAGTTTACAGATCAGTTTGTGGCGCGAGAGAGAGACTCGCCAGACGCTGGCCAGTCTCCACTCAGTAATCAGGAAGTTGTGTGTAAAGATAAAGTATTTGAAGATGAGTTAAGTCAAATCTAAGGACCAATCCAAACCACTGTTTGATCGGCAGGTAACGGACCTCGTGCAAGAACATTTTCAGATCCAAACCTTCCTGCTCGTATGAGTCAGATCCAACAAACGTGACCCGTTAATGAGATCTCATCAGCAGAATCTGCTAGAGCCCGACCGACGTATCCGTACCGTAGTGTGTCCTCTGATTGGCTGACGATATAGCCTACATGTTACATTATTTGACATGTTAAAGAATATTTAACTTAAATATTCTTTGAAGAAGTTAAGCAGCCTTGTGAGGACCTTTAGCAGAGTCTGTCTATTTTCATTCCAGCTCAGATATTCACTCTACCGGCTACAACTAATCTGTCAGTTCTTCCCTCTAAGATCAATGTACACCCCACTGCCAAATAATGCTGCCTCCCCTGCTCAGTTTGATATCTGTGTTTCATTCACAAAGATATTGAAGAGACTCTGCGGTCAGAAAGGAGCAGAGTCAGTACTGGACGACCACTTTGTTCAGAATATTTGTTTTAATATGAACAGTACAGCTGCCATCAGAGCGCAGAGATTAAGTTCCCGCCAGTGCCTTCTGCTGTTGATGCGAGGGGGTCACAGTTTCCGTCCCAACAATCGACCCGTTGTTGCATGAGGTCCGATCAATCACTGCTACCATGTGCAATGACTCTGAAACAACTGTAGAGCTTTGTAAATCTGATCTTCTGTGTCAAAATAAAACTTTTCAACATGATCAGACGCAGCAGGATTGAGTTTTTACTAAAAATGTGCTTCATCACACAACGTGGTTCATCAGGAGAAACCCAGCGGATAAAACAACAGTCTCAGTCAGTGAACAACAGTCTCAGTCTGAACAACAGTCTCAGTCGGGGTGAACAACAGTCTCAGATCCCAGTGAACATACAGTCTGCAGTCTGAACCAACAGTCTAGTCAGTCTGAGACAACAGTCTCAGTCAGTGAACAAACAGTCTCAGATCAGATGTAAAAAGTCATCAGTCAGTGAACAACCAGTCTCAGTCAGTCTGAACCCAACAGTCTCAGTCAGTGAACAACCAGTCCTCAGTTCTGACAACAGTCTCAGTCAGTGAACACCAGTCTCAGTCTGAACAACAGTCTCAGTCAGTGCCAACAACAGTCTCAGTCAGTCTGAACAAAGTCTCAGTCCAGTGTAACAACAGTCCTCAGTCTGAAACAAAGTCTAGATCAGTGAACAACAGTCTCAGTCAGTGAACCAACAGTCTCAGTCCTGAACACCTCTC